AATGAAGAGGCGTAGTCTGAGACCGGGGCCAGGAGCCATTAACTGATGTAAATGCCACACATCATACTGCCAATTGTTACCGTTGTTAACAGTATCGAGTTATTAAGCGATGCTGTCAGGTGTTAGAGAGAGAGAGCGATACATAACCTTTCACATGCCTTTAAAGAGAGAGGGTTGTTGTATCTCATGGAGCATGAACAGTGACGTCTACAAAGGAACATTACATTTATGAATGAGAAACGAGATGAACTGAAGAGTAGCAACAGCAGCTAATACACAGGAAGCGAGGTGAATACACAAGTCATGCAGTTTGCGGTAATCGTCAACATAAATGTCTAAACATGTTCTAGCTTGGCCCTCCCGTGTGACCTTTGACCTACACTGCAGGATCAGCCTCTTCTTCAATTACTGTGTGTATTTTCTTCAAAATCGCCTTTCGTTCACATCTGTCTGAGCTAACATACTACAGAAGTTTTATATGTGCTTATTCTCGGTTAGATTAGGTTTGGTTAGGCGATTGTATATTACGTATATTTACGTAGAAGTTACAGATAGTAATCAAAAACCGGACAGCTTACGTCTGGCAGTGTGAGTGACTTGTCGCTATATTAAAGCGTTCGTTTTCCAGCGAACGTTGGCAAATGTTGGAGGATGTATGTAACTGTTTTTATATTGTCATGGCCCAGTACCTTTGCGGGCTTATTTTGTATTTAGATATTTTCTTTATCTAGTCACACATGCACACGCGAGTGCACTTAGAAGAGGAAAATAATCAACTCCTTCTAAGATGGCAAGTATTGCCGATAAATATGATAAAAAGGTATTCGCGCGGGAAAAAAAAACATTTCGCTCTGTGTAGAAGAGCTTCATCAGGTGATGACTTGATAAAGCTCGACCCAGAGCTATAGCAGTGATTGCTTTGAGCCGTGTATCTTAGTAACAAACTCGAAGAAAAAATAAAAACAAATGTCTGCTGTAGCGGGCAAAGAGACTGGTGGAGGTGATCCCCAAGTCTACAGGGAACTAGGAGTATTCACCTGGCTTAGTATAATGAAAGGGATCACGAGAGTTAAACCTCGCCAACACGCAATGTGCAAATTAGTGACAAGATGCCAGCCAGGCCGAGCCGGGAGCCAGGACGTGCGAGGAAACAGAGAATGTGAAGCAGAGAAGCACCAAGTGTGTAACCGAGAAAAGGAAGGCATTCATAGGGTTAGTAGCCCAAGATAACTAATAAAAAAAAATAGTTAGTTTATCTCCATTGGGATTCTTCCCTTGGTTGTTGACTCTAACAGCTAAGTCCTATGTATATATTTACAACTAAGTGAATATGGGAATCTGGTGAAGGGAGATTTGCTCACATGTCTTTGCCTGCCCGGGAGTCGAGCCCGCATCCTTTCGGTTGTGATTCGAATGCTGTATTACTGAACTATAAGTCCGAAGTTCATATATTTGACTGGCTTTTGTACTGTTAGTTATTTTTGTACTGCTGATTCTCTCTCTTCAATAAATAATTTTAGTTCATCGTGAAAACTTAGAAGCATACATCTATAAAACCTCTGCACATGTTCGTCCACTGGAAAATTTTTAATGTTTTCTACAAAGTATTTTTGTAGCAGTGGTGGTTTAGCGGTGTTGGTGTAGAGTCTTGGCAGTCGCATGTCGAGAAGATGTTAATGGCTGTAATCATGTAACATTAGTACAGTCACCTGGTGTAGGATTTCTGGTGTACACACTACACATTACTACCTGTAGTGTTAGGGCCAGCTTGTCCTCCCGCTGCTGTCAACTTCTGTCGGTGGAAAGTATAAAGGAGCTGCTTGCATTAAAATAGTCTTAAATTTTAACTTAACAATCTTTTAAGTTTATTTTGGGCTTATACCTGTGTATTGTCTTGGGAACTTGAGATGTTGTGTAAGCAATTTATTGAAATATATGACCGTCAAAATTACGAACGCGTTCGTAGACCTTGCGTGCAGACAGACCTCTGGTAAGTTCCGAGAAAGCCCAGCTCCAATCACGCGTCAGAATATATGGCGATTGATACACGCAAAGCCACGGAGTCATAACGGTTGCTTGCCTTATTCTGAAGCTAATTATTTTCATCCTTTTCGTCTGAAATATTACCGATCTCCACATCGGAAAGTAGAATTGTGTAAGGGTGGGGTGGGGGGGGGGATGAGAGATTTCCCTGTCGTCTTTGTACCTGCACAGTAGTACTTCCTTAGTTATTGGATTCGGGGGTCAAGTCTCGATTCTTGGTCATGCCTCTTGAGTTACGCACGAACAGTCAGTCACACACTAAGTGGATGCTCGTGGCTCATGTGTGAGCGTCCTTCGTTCATACACTGAGGGGTCCGGGATCGATCCACGGCACTGTAAAAACGTTGGGCATGTTTCCTTACGCCTGCTGCTCCTGTTCGCATAACAGTAAGTAGGTACCTGGGTGTTAGTTGACTGTTGTGGGTCACATCCTGGGAAACGACATTAACTTAAGTTGCCTGAAATGCTTCACATAACCAGGGGCTTTCTATATAGTATGTCAGCGATGTTAGATAGGTCTGTAATAGTTGTATCATGCACTTGTAATAACAATAATAATAATTATTATTATTATTCGTGGCTCTTCAAGGCAGGCAAAATTGCTGAGCTGGAAGTCCGTTGAACAGTACTCCGTAGAACATACGCGATAACGATATATAATAATTTACACCTGGAGGAGGCTGGAGGAATTGGTCCGAAACCTACACGCCGAAATTACTACTTATGAACACAAGAGGCTTGGCAGACAGTGAAAAATATCTCCAGAGAAAAACAGGAGGAATGAGCATAGAGAGAACTCAATAAGTGTAAAGGGACTACAGCTCTCCATCACCCTCCCTTCATGTATAAAGGGGATTACCAACAAACCCCTAGATGTATTTCTTATGTCTTCAAGAAGGAACTCGACAGATTCCTCAAAACAGTTCTTGATCAGCCTGGTTGTGGTGCATACTTTGGACAACGGGTGGCGGGCACTAACAGCTTGATCAATATGGCCGGCAACCAGGGGGCTGGTCTGGGACCAGGCCGCGGGGGCGGTGACCTCTGGCAGTGACTCCGGGTAGATGGGCACTATCATAACTTTTCCTAAGACTGTATGGAATCTGCTTCGTTCCATTTCATTACCAAAATGCCTATATTTGTACTATCGAGTCTTCTGAGTATCTTATATGTCGTGATCATATTTCCCCTAGTTTTACAGTATTATAAGGTTTACTTTATGATACGCGCAGCTCTCTTAGTTTTCTTCTCACAATGTTTGCAAAAGTTATACTGTAGTGTGTTGCAGGGGTCGATTCACAGCTTCTGGCCTCGCCTCTTTGCTGGTCGCTACTAGGTCCACTCTCTCCTTGCTCCAAGAGCTTTATCGTACCTCTTCTTAAAGTTGTGTGTGGATCCTGCCTTCACTACATCACTCTTCCGATTGTTTCACTTCCTGACAACTCTATGACTGAAGAAATACTTCCTAACATCCCTGTGACTCATCTGAGTTTTCAACTTCCATTTGTGACTCCGTGTTGCTGTGTCCCATCTCTGAAATATTCTGTCCCTATCCACTTTGTCAGTTCCTCTCAGGCTCCATGGCCTGGCTGGCAAAGGTCTCGCTTCACACGCCGAGGGCCCGAGTTCGATTTCCAGCGGGGTGGAAACATTTCGACGCGTTTCCTTACACCTGTTGTCTTGTTGCCCTAGCAAGTAGGTACCTGGGTGTTAGTCGACTGGTGTGGGTTGCATCCTGGGGGACAAGATTGGGTACCCCAATGGAAATAAGACACAGTCCCTCGATAACTCACTGCCTTTCTTGGGTTATCCTGGGTGGCTAACCCTCCGGGACTAAAAATCCGAAGAAAATCTTATCTTATCCTTCCTGTCCTCCAGTGTCGTCAGGTTGATTTCACTTAACCTCTCCTCGTAGGACATATCGCATAGCTCCGGGGCTGGTTTTGTGTGTGTGTGTGTGTGTGTGTGTGTGTGTGTGTGTGTGTGTGTGTGTGTGGAGGAAAGTGAGGAAGAGCTTTGCATATCTAGCCTATTGCGGGGCTTCTTGGTGCGTGCTCATCCCTCGTAGACAATCACGGTGGAGGGGAGGGAGGGATGAATGTGTTATCTCAGGCACTCTCATGTGCCACTGGGATACAAGAAAGTATTTAGCAGCTTATGACTGGTACTTTCCACGGGGAAATACTAAACTCGTAAGGATCAGACAGACCCCCCAATGGAAATAAATCACCTCTTTTTAATTCATTGGATTATCCTAGGTTAAATCCCTACATTGTGCCCATAACGTCTGTATGCCCTCAAGACTGTTAAAAAATTGATTTGTACTCAAAACTTAATGAAAACTTAGTAAAGTTTTTACTTAGGCTTTATGCTTATGGACGCATAAAAACTACATTATGTAGATTTAACCCAAGAAAAGACAATAAAATTAAACAATGTGAGTTGTGACTTATTTCCAAATAGGCTCCTTACTCTTGGGGCCCCTTGTCCTGGTTCGATTCCCAGCAGAGGTGGAAACAATGGAAGCGTTTCCTTACACCTGTTGTCCTGTTCACCTAACAAGTAGGTACCTGGGTGTTAGTCGATTGATGTGGGTCGCATCCTGGGGGACAAGCTTGAGGACCCCAGTGGAAATAAGACAGACAGCCCCTCGATGACGCACTGCCTTTCGTGGGTTATCCTGGGTGGCTAACCCTCCTGGGTTAAAAATCCGAACAAAATCTCTTATCTCTTGGTAAAGAATTGGAATGACCCGAAAAGTTACACAGTGAAAGTGGAATATGTACAGGATTAGAAAACAAATATGACAGGGAAATTTATGATTGTGGGGTGAAAATTTAGGAGACAAGACCAAGAACTAGATAACAACCTCAGCAGTCAATTAGGTAAATAGTCTTATGTTTGCTCAGAATATAGCACAGAATTACCAACTTAAGTATCGTTTTCTTCACTTGCAGAGAGAATGTAAGAGAAAATGGGCAGTAGTGAGTGGGAGGGGTTACTGGAGCGGCGGCTGGCGGTGCTGCCAGGCTCCAGGGACCCAGGTGGAGGTCCTATCCTCATCATTCCCTTGCCCCAAGACCCCAGTAACCATGACTCCGGGGCCATCTCCGCCACTGTCAAGTACCTCAAGACCATCCCCAGGTCAGTCGCGTCAACTTTATGTATCTTAGCACTATTTCCTAATGTACTCGCATCAAGTATTTTATATTGTACAATGCCTATACTTTACATGATATTCTTAATGGACTTATTATCCTATAAAGCTTTTAAGATAATATAGTAATTTATGCACAAGTTTTTCATTTTGTAAATTATTATTATTGCTACTATTATTATGATTACTGTTATTATTATCACTTGGCTGGTTGGTAATTCATTGTAAGGTAATTTTATTTCCCGAGATGATACAAAACTCGAAGGGTAATCTAATTGCGATGACAGCACAATTCTGGAAAGACAGCAGTAGAATGAATGATGGCGAATGTGAAATTCTTCACTGGATCACCATGCTTTGGCAGGAGACAGCTGTTGAGTTAACATATGATTGATTACAATAATACATTAATAGTGTATAATTCTTAAAAGAAAAAGTTCATAATTATGTTAAGTATATCTGGCACATTGTTATGCAGCGCTCACGAGGATGTCACTCGGTGCTCGAAGTCATCTTCAGTGTCTCATTTTCTTATTTTTTTAATGTATTTTATTACTATTTTGTAAATACAAGTTTGTGTATGTTAAAGTAGGTTTTTATGCATATCTCTCATTTTACTATTGACAGTAGAGCAACTTTCATAACTAAAGAAAACAAAAAAGAATTAATATCTTTTATATTTTTTTTGCAACTAAAGAAGAGTGTATGTGTGTTTGGAGACTGTAAGTTGACTCCAGTGCCTATTTGAGAGATTATTCTTGACTAGTTAACAGCCTTTATGACCCTCGGTTTTAAACCAAACAAACCAATCTGTAGGAGCGTTATACTTTCCTTGCCACACAAGAAGAGTTATTGAATACGTATACACAGTTTGAGCGCTCGGGAGCGGGGTTGGGTGGTGGTGGTGGACGCAAGAGTCTGCCACTACCGCCTCGTCAAGCCCACCGTCAGCACCATCCGCGCCACCCTCGGCTACATCAGACACCTCTTCGTTGTCAGGCCAGAGGGCTTCTGGGACAAGCAGCGTAGTCGATTGTCGCAAGAGTGAGGTAGATAGTCAGGTGAGTACTGAGGCTTGTGTACCTGCCAGTCACTTCGCAGTCATTTCCATCAACGTCTGGAATTTTGCAACTTGAATTAAACAGTGAGTTTGATCAAAAATATTCTGAATTTAAATGTTTGCTGTCTAGAAATCTGTCATTGGAGTAGCAAATGGTAGCAAATGTTAAAATCATCTCTCTGTACACACACACACACACACACACACACACACACACACACACACACACACACAAGCCTACTGGAGTTCTATGACATGGTGACAGCAGTAAGACAAGAGAGAGAGAGAGGGTGGGTGGATTGCATTTTCTTGTACTGCAAGAAGGCGTTTGACACAGTTCCACACAAGAGATTAGTGCAAAAACTAGAGGGCCAAGCAGGGATAACAGGGAAGGCACTACAGTGGATCAGGGAAGATAGATAGATGTCGTCGATTTAACCGAGGTTAGCCACCCAGGATACCAAGAATCAGTGCGTCACGAGGACTGTCTAACTTATTGTCATGGGTCCTAATCTTGTCCCCGGAGCGACCCACACCAGTCGACTACGACCCAGTACTATTTGCTGCTAGGTGAACAGACAACAGTGTAAGGAAACGTTGAATGTTTCACCCGGAATGACCCGGCCTCCTGTTGAGCAGGGACGTTAGCCACAGACCAGACCACAGCACGATCACGTCTGCGAGTGTCGAGATGGCCTGTGACCAGCGGCCACAGGTCTCCAGACAGTGTGTTTGTATTGACCATGACGGAAGGAATAGATCCGAAGTGTCCTGTTGCAGATACGTGAAGTTGAGAGAAGAACTCATTCGATCGAAGACCAGGCAGAACTACAAGGATCTGGACAGGCTGCAGACTTGGTCCAGCAGTTGGCTCCTGGAGTTCAACCCCACCAAGTGAAGGGAAAGGGCAAAGAAGACCGCAGACGGAGTACAGTCTAGGGGGGCCAGAGACTACAAACCTCACTCAAGGAAAAAGATCTTGGGGTGAGTATAACACCCGGCACATCCCCTGAAGCGCACATCAGCCAAATAACTGCTGCAGCATATGGGCGCCTAGCAAACCTCGGGACAGCATTCCGACACCTTAATAAGGAATCGTTCAGGACCCTGTACACCGTGTACGTTAGGCCCATATTGGAGTATGCGGCACCAGTTTGGAACCCACACCTAGCCAAGCACGTAAAGAAACTAGAGAAAGTGCAAAGGTTTGCAACAAGGCTAGTCCCAGATCTAAGGGGTATGTCCTACGAGGAGAGGTTAAGGGAAATCGACCTGACGACACTGGAGGACAGGAGAGATAGGGAGGACATGATGACGACATACAAAATACTGAGAGGAATTACAAGGTGGAAAAGACAGGATGCTCCAGAGATGGGACACAGCAACAAGAGGACACAGTTGGAAGTTGAAGACACAGATGAATCACAGGGTTGTTAGGAAGTATTTCTTCAGCCACAGAGTAGTCAGGAAGTGGAATAGTTTGGGAAGCGATGTTGTCGAGGCAGGATCCATACATAGCTTTAAGCAGAGGTATGATAAAGCTCACGGTTCAGGGAGAGTGACCTTGTAGCGACCAGTGAGGAGGCGGGGCAAGGAGCTTGGACTCAGCCCCTGCAACCTCAACTAAGTGAGTACAACTAGGTGAGTACACACACACACAACACATACATCATACAATATATATATATAATATGATATATATATTATCAACTATAATATATATATATATATATATTAATATAATATAGTATATATTTATATTATTTTATAAATTTATTTTCATAATCTTAGCTGATAAAACAGGAACATTAATGTTAGTGAAGCAGTATTAGGTAAGTCTTTCTTGTCTGGATTCAAGAATTCAGGAGATAGGAAATTTCACTTCCTGCCTCTTCGATTATCGGTCTTATGATAATTGAATCTACTGTAACAGAATTATGTGTGAGCAAGTAGACGCGGTAGATTCTCACTCCCTCGATACGCTGGAAGACCCCAGACTTCCTCACTGTCAGCCCTGAGTGTGAGCAAGCTGACGCGGTACGTGGAGCTATCACAGCTGCCTGTCGAACTGGGAGGGACCCTCGACTACGACCACACCGCATGGCTCAAGACCCGCAAGGTACGACCCACCATGGACTCACTATTATCCCATCAATCACATGTTAATGGTAGTTGGCTCCAAGGTCTCAGTGATAGTTCACTGAACTTCACGGTGCTCATAACCTGGGTTATACAGACAACATTGTGTATATTCTCTGACTCTAATTCCTATTTTATTGATCAAAGTATTTTTGATAGTGTAAGTGTCACGCGACCTTATTGACTCGTATACAGTAGTCGATAGTCCTTAAATGTAACTATCTAAGAGCGTTCATTATATAGCTTTTATGTTGTTAAAATTACTTATGTTTTTCAAATGACTTTAAAAAAAAAAACACGAAAATTCAATAAATAAGTTATTATTATCATTGTAACTATTCATTATTATTATATTATTATTGTATTGTCTTTTAGCACTAACCCTTAAGTATCACACAGCTCAAATACTATAATATATATATATATATATATATATATATATATATATATATATATATATATATATATATATATATATATATATATTATATATATATATATATTATATATTTACTGTATACTATATATACTATATATATACACTGTAAGCAACTCATAGGTATTGTGCACAACATATTAATTAACTACAATCATCCAAATTCCCAGAACTCGCCACGTGGAGGTGGTTGTTCTTTGAATTCCATAAATAAACATAAGAATATGTAATTAAGCAGCATTAACAGACGTGTCTGCTTTTTGTAGGTAGCCAGAAGTTCCTTGTTGTGTGAAGAAAGCCCGGCCCTTACACCTTTAACATGAGAACCCTTACCAGTTTTTTCTTGAATATATACTGTAAAATATATATAAACACTGGAGCATGCAGCACCAGTTTGGAACCCACACCTGGTCAAGCGCGTCAAGAAATTAGAGAAAGTGCTAAGGTTTGCAACAAGACTAGCCCCAGAGCTACGGGGACTGTCCTACGAAGAAAGGTTAAAGGGAATTGGCCTGACGACACTGGAGGACAGGAGGCTCAGGGGAGACATGATAACGACATATAAAATACTGCGCGGAATAGACAATGTGGACAAAGACAGGATGTTCCAGAGATGGGACACAGAAACAAGGGGTCACAATTGAAAGTTGAAGACTCAGATGAGTCAAAGGGATGTTAGGAAGTATTTCTTCAGTCATAGAGATGTCAGGCAGTCTAATAGCCTGGAAAGTGACGTAGTGGAGGCGGGAACCATACATAGTTTTAAGACGAGGTTTAATAAAGCTCACTGAACAGGAAGGGAGAGGACCTAGTAGCAATCAGTGAAGAGGCGGGGTCAGGAGCTATGAATCGACCCCTGCAACCACAAATAAGTGAGTACAAATAGAGTATACACACACACACACACACACACCCGCGCGCGTGCATACGTATATATATATATATATATATATATATATATTATATATATATATATATATATATATATATATATATATATATATATATATATATATATATATATGCAAAACAACCACTCTGAAAGAATAGAGAAATTCCAAGTAGTCACGAAAGCGCTTGGAATTTCTCTATTCTTTCAGAGTGGTTGTTTTGCATATTTGAAATCACCTGTTTACTGTGATCTTATTGCATATATATATATATATATATATATATATATATATATATATATATATATATATATATGTCGTGCCGAATAGGCAGAACTTGCGATCTTGGCTTAAATAGCAACGCTCATCTTGCCATATAGGACAAGTGAAAAATTGTGTATGCAATAATTTCGCCAAAATCATTCTGAACCTAACGAAAAACATATATTTCACTGTGTTTATTTAGTATTAAATTATTGTTAACAAATCTAAAATATACTTGGTTGGGTTAGGCTAAAATAAATTGTTCTTGTTATAATAAGGTTAGGTAAGTTTTCTAAGATTCTTTTGGTGCAAAATTATAAATTTTTATATCAACTTTAATGAATTTTTTTTATCTTTAAACGTATAAGAGAAAATTTCAAAAAGGTTTTAATTTTAAATGAGTTCTTGCTAATTGACCAGTTTTACATATTCGGCACGACACACACACACACACACACACACAACATATATATATATATATATATATATTGAGTTGTGCAAAGGACCTATCCAAGTTGGGTCGGCGCGCGTCAGCTGTTTAACCGTTGTGGGATCTGATAGTGAGGTGCTGGCCAGACCCCTTATATAGCTTCCTTGGATGCTTTACTTTCATAGTTCCTTGATAATGTGAGTAGTCACGAAAGAGCTTGGAATTTCTCTATTCTTTCAGAGTGGTTGTTTTGCATATATATATATATATATATATATATATATATATATATATATATATATATATATATTATATATATATATATATATATATATAGAGAGAGAGAGAGAGAGAGAGAGAGGGGCCACAGATATATCAGATCACTTTCTAGTTGTAGCTACACTGAGAGTAAAAGGTAGATGGGATACAAGGAGAATAGAAGCATCAGGGAAGAGAGAGGTGAAGGTTTATAAACTAAAAGAGGAGGCAGTTAGGGTAAGATATAAACAGCTATTGGAGGATAGATGGGCTAATGAGAGCATAGGCAATGGGGTCGAAGAGGTATGGGGTAGGTTTAAAAATGTAGTGTTAGAGTGTTCAGCAGAAGTTTGTAGTTACAGGAAAGTGGGTGCGGGAGGGAAGAGGAGCGATTGATGGAATGATGATGTAAAGAGAGTAGTAAGGGAGAAAAAGTTAGCATATGAGAAGTTTTTACAAATTAGAAGTGATGCAAGGAAGGAAGAGTATATGGAGAAAAAGAGAGAGGTTAAGAGAGTGGTGAAGCAATGTAAAAAGAGAGCAAATGAGAGTGGGTGAGATGTTATCAACAAATTTTGTTGAAAATAAGAAAAAGTTTTGGAGTGAGATTAACAAGTTAAGGAAGCCTAGAGAACAAATGGATTTATCAGTTAAAAATAGGAGAGGAGAGTTATTAAATGGAGAGTTAGAGGTATTGGGAAGATGGAGGAATATTTTGAGGAATTGTTAAATGTTGATGGAGATAGAGAAGCTGTGATTTCGTGTATAGGGCAAGGAGGAATAACATCTTGTAGGAGTGAGGAAGAGCCAGTTGTGAGTGTGGGGGAAATTCGTGAGGCAGTAGGTAAAATGAAAGGGGGTAAGGCAGCCGGGATTGATGGGATAAAGATAGAAATGTTAAAAGCAGGTGGGGATGTAGTTTTGGAGTGGTTGGTGAAATTATTTAATAAATGTATGGAAGAGGGTAAGGTACCTAGGGATTGGCAGAGAGCATGCATAGTTCCTTTGTATAAAGGCAAAGGGGACAAAAGAGAGTGCAAAAATTATAGGGGGATAAGTCTGTTGATTATACCTGGTAAAGTGTATGGTAGTTATTATTGAAAGAATTAAGAGTAAGACGGAGAATAGGATAACAGATGAACAAGGAGGCTTTAGGAAAGGTAGGGGGTGTGTGGACCAGGTGGTTACAGTGAAATATATAAGTGAACAGTATTTAGATAAGGCTAAAGAGGTCTTTGTTGCATTTATGGATTTGGAAAAGGCGTATGACAGGGTGGATAGGGGGGCAATGTGGCAGATGTTGCAGGTGTATGGTGTAGGAGGTAGGTTACTGAAAGCAGTGAAGAGTTTTTACGAGGATAGTGAGGCTCAAGTTAGAGTATGTAGGAAAGAGGGAAATTATTTCCCAGTAAAAGTAGGCCTTATACAAGGATGTGTGATGTCACCGTGGTTGTTTAATATATTTATAGATGGGGTTGTAAGAGAAGTAAATGCGAGGGTCTTGGCAAGAGGCGTGGAGTTAAAAGATAAAGAATCACGCATAAAGTGGGAGTTGTCACAGTTGCTCTTTGCTGATGACACTGTGCTCTTGGGAGATTCTGAAGAGAAGTTGCAGAGATTGGTGGATGAATTTGATAGGGTGTGCAAAAGAAGAAAATTAAAAGTGAATACAGGAAAGAGTAAGGTTATGAGGATAACAAAAAGATTAGGTGATGAAAGATTGGATATCAGATTGGAGGGAGAGAGTATGGAGGAGGTGAATGTATTCAGATATTTGGGAGTGGACGTGTCAGCGGATGGGTCTATGAAAGATGAGGTGAATCATAGAATTGATGAGGGGAAAAGGGTGAGTGGTGCACTTAGGAGTCTGTGGAGACAAAGAACTTTGTCCTTGGAGGCAAAGAGGGGAATGTATGAGAGTATAGTTTTACCAACGCTCTTAAATGGGTGTGAAGCATGGGTGATGAATGTTGCAGCGAGGAGAAGGCTGGAGGCAGTGGAGATGTCATGTCTGAGGGCAATGTGTGGTGTGAATATAATGCAGAGAATTCGTAGTTTGGAAGTTAGGAGGAGGTGCGGGATTACCAAAACTGTTGTCCAGAGGGCTGAGGAAGGGTTGTTGAGGTGGTTCGGACATGTAGAGAGAATGGAGCGAAGCAGAGTGACTTCAGGAGTGTATCAGTCTGTAGTGGAAGGAAGGCGGGGGTAGGGGTCGGCCTAGGAAAGGTTGGAGGGAGGGGGTAAAGGAGGTTTTGTGTGCGAGGGGCTTGGACTTCCAGCAGGCATGCGTGAGCGTGTTTGATAGGAGTGAATGGAGACAAATGGTTTTTAATACTTGACGTGCTGTTGGAGTGTGAGCAAAGTAACATTTATGAAGGGGTTCAGGGAAACCGGCAGGCCGGACTTGAGTCCTGGAGATGGGAAGTACAGTGTCTGCACTCTGAAGGAGGGGTGTTAATGTTGCAGTTTAAAAACTGTAGTGTAAAGCACCCTTCTGGCAAGACAGTGATGGAGTGAATGATGGTAAAAGTTTTTCTTTTTCGGGCCACCCTGCCTTGGTGGGAATCGGCCAGTGAGATAATAAAAATAAGTAAATAATATATATATATATATATATATATATATATATATAATATTGTAAATATATATATATATATATATATATATATATATATATATATATATATTATATAATATATATATATATATATATATATATATATATATATATATATATTGTAAATATATATATATATATATATATATATATATATATATATATATATATATATATATATATATATATATATATATATATATATATATATATTATATATATACATACGTACTGTATTCTATTGCTATTGTTATATTAGCAACAAGCGGTAAAAAAAAACATAAGGGGAAACACAATCCTTGTATAAAATCGTGGGAGTGCAATTTATTGATCCGGGGCAGGCGCAACACGTCAAAAATAAAACTGAATAATCACCAAAGGTAGTTTGTTACACCAGCTCTATTTCTATTATTATTATTATTTTAGACAAGGGAGGCATTAAACCTGTAAAGGCTATACACCGCCTGGAAAATGGGATACAGGTTTAATCCGAGGAAGGGCAGGTTAACTTGTTTCACAAATTTATGATGAAAACTGAACGATATTTCGGTCCCGTCCTGGACCATTATTGTATCACTAAGAGTTTACAATGTTCCAGAATGTACGGACACGTCGTCCAGTTTTCATTGTTCAAATATGCGATATAGTGGTGAATTCTGTATTCGCGCCGTTGTATTTTACGAAACTCTAAACCCGTATGAGTCATTCATCGCACGGAGTGGCGAAGGCTCGATCCCCATTCTGGGAATGGCAGTAAATTAAGCTTTCCTTTAGTGAATAATCAGAATTCTGGGCAGGGCGTCTAACCAGGCCCATCTCTATCATCAGCCACGGAGTTTACAGCTGCGACTTGGTTGCAGCAGCACCACCTTACTGTCTCATCCCACAACCCCAGAAGCTTGCGTGGTACATCTCATATCCCTATAAATCAGATAGTCCATAAGCCCAAGTAGTAATGAACGGCTGTCAATGAATGAACAGTTAGTTTAATAGGTTTATTATGCACTCATGCTGTGGGCCGTAGTTATAAGATTACAGAGGCACATATTGTGGTCCATACGCTGGGCCCCAGAGTTTTCAAGAATAATCAGAATGCCGTATTCTGTTCATTCATTGACAGTTGTTTATTACGACTTATCTTGAGTCTATGTCATTACATTGTTTATATTTCAGTCTCACTGCTTATCACCTTATTTTCAGTGAAACCTTCTTTCCCTCGCAGCTGCGTGAAGAGCTCTTGGTTCAAGGAATCGGAGCTATCCTCCCATTCGTTGGATCGAATATAATTACCTTCCTTTCCTCGTTCCCAAGCGATACATGACCGCTACGGGTTTATCGTTTTTAGGTGAATTACTTTATTATTAAATCTAAGCGCTAAACCCGGAAGGGTTATACAGCGCTGCTTTTAAATGAATAATCACACTAGGGGTAGCTGGTGAGTTGTCTCAGACGTGGTGCACCCCTCAAGGCAGATCCCTTGATGATGATGAGGGGTTCTTGATTCAAAGAAATGGACTTGTCTTCTTCCTTGAATTAAACCTGATTACCTCCCATTTCCCCCTCACAGCGTTTTCCCCTAAATATAGTAAGGTTGTAATTAGTAATAATATAGTATAATAAAATACTAATAATGCAACATGGTGCAGGCGTACGAGGAGTTCGTAGACGAGTGTGAGCGAGCTCGTCGTGACCTGGAGACGCTGCAGGTGGAGCTTCGTCGGGAGGAGCCGTGCAGCCGAGCCTCCACTCTACACGACCTCCTCTCCGTCAACACCAACACCTACAACACCATCACTGCCAGGCCAGCTGTCATCTTCAACATAGGTACAGCAGCCTTTCACCTGCAGTACTCAGGTTCTTCACTCGTACAGAATGGTACTTTTAAAGTCTGTAATTAAAAATTTGATCAGAAATGTTTTAATGAGTAAGAGAGTTTATAATAACGTATTTATTATTTTGTAATTATGATGGATTGTTTATGTAACTATAAGCACAATAAAAACTAGAAATGTCTCTTTTGTTCTTCCATGGAAAGGGGTGCCTTAAAATAACTATTTGTAACTACCTCTCATCTTCCTCGAATTGGGTATGATTAACCACAATACCCCTCCCATCCCTCAGGTACTGTATGACCCTTACGAGTCTAACTTTCCCATGATCATGATAACCCTCTTTTGCTGTATGGTAGGTCAAGAGGTGTTGAAGGTTCTGGAGATGGACGAGGAGTCAGGGTTCAGGGTGTGTGAGGGCCAAGGAGACTCGGCTGAGGCGGCTTCCAGAGTGCGAGCCATGCTTCACGACCTCCACCTCCTGACTACTGCTGTAGAGGCCTGCTGGAGGAGGCTCAACACCGCCCTCGACACCTACATGCAGGTCAGGACATTCACCAGCTGCATAAATATATTTTTATTTTTTACTCCTATGTGAAGAGTTAAGCCTGTTTGTAATTTAATACAAGGGCTACTGGAGGCTTGATCGTCCATCCGCTTTAATCGTGATATAAACACATCACCAAACTGTACTCACTGATTCACGAGAGAAATAAGCGCACGTATCATTCACAGTGGAAGAAATTTACAAGAACCAATGTCGGAAATTTATTATTTGCATTTAGATTTTTCTTGTATGTAGTATGTTGATGCCAGGTCTTGATGTAAGGAACTGGACTTGTGCTTTCCTCCCTTGGATTGAATCTGAATACTTCTCCTTCCAAGCGTTGTATGACCCCGACATGTTTAACGCTCCCCAAGAATGTAATGTAATGTATGTAGTATGTTTACAATTAGTGAAATTTTGAACATCATGCGTGTTTTATAACGCCTTCTGATGTTGAGTGAACCGTTCGCTCAACATCAGATGATTTGTTGGTTCATAATTCTATTAATATTCCAGTCTTCTGGAGCTCCGAAGGTCCTGCCTTTATTAAAGGTATACTTTCTAGTGGTTACTCTCTCTTTTTTTCCAATTCTCTTTGACACTGGTTTCTGTATACTTGTTGAGGAAGCCTTCCACTTCTCCCTGACTTTAGGGTAACTTAGGTCGCCGCACTCTCGTATTTAGAAATTCTTCTTTCTAATATTCCATTATAATATTTATTTATTTTCTCTTATCTTTCGTTTATCATATCTTGAAGATAAAACTTTTACTATCATTTAATTTTAGGTTTTGTCTCATAAAGCTAGGGATTAAGTTGACAAGTAATTTTCCGACCAATCTCTGATAAAAAAAATCCGTACAGATGAAAACTAGAATTTATGATCTACCATTAATAAAATATGCCAGTTTATCAATACTAGTCGCAGGAACTCTCAAGTACTGAATGCGATGCTACTGCGTTCACGAAGAGAAAGTTATATAAACTATTATTATTATAATAAAAAAGAAGCGCTAAACCACAAGGGCTATACAGCATATATTATTAATTCAGAAAATCTATGTTTTGAAAATAAACAAGAAAAACATCTAAATACTTCACTTTGATCCGTACTCTGGGGTTCTCTTCTTCATTGGTTCATGTACAGAGTAAAGATTGAGATATTCAGTTTCATGTTGTGCTCTTATGAGTGTGACATTACGAATACATTTTTATAGGCAATAATTGTAACTCGCGAACTTAATACTACTTCTGTCTTAACCATGTGTATCTTCTTAATTAAATGCCCGACATCCACTTTACATCCTTTGGAAAGTAATGTTTTGGTTGGGTGACAGTCGATCAGGAAGAGCTTTATTAAATACTTGATGTTTGCTCTATTCTAGGTGTCCCTGTATTTGTCATGTAATATTGTTTTGTGCAGGTGCGGGAACTGGAGAGCGACATGAACGACATCGGGCAGTGGCTGGTGTCGGCGGGGCAAACGCTGCTGGCGGAGACCAGTATTGGTACTACCACCGACCAGGCCGAGGCTCTCCTCAGGGAACACGAGGCCATCGAACTCAAGTGCAGGGTAACTGTGTGTGTGTGTGTGTGTGTGTGTGTTTGTGTAAACCTGTTTATAATTACCTATGTGAGTTTGGGAGGAAGGAAGGGGTAAGCACCAGCTCTTGGTTCAGGTCCAGCCTCTTAATTTTTGATCGGCTGACGTGTTTGAGCCTCGTTGATCCATTTTTTTTAATCACTGTATATTTTCTCAGATCATTCAACTTCTTCATCACTCTTATACTGAAGAAATGTTTCCTGGTGTTCCTGTGCCATGGGCATTGTTTCTTCTTGCATCCCTGGTAAAGAGTCTGCCATTGTCTACTCTGTGTGTCCCTAAGTATTTTGTATGGCGTGAGCATATCCCCTCTCGTGTTTCGTTCCTTCACTAACATAGGGCCTACTTCACATAATTTTCGTAGCTCATTCCCATCGATTCAGACACCAATCTTGATTCTCTTTTCTATATATTCTCAAGGAATTGGAAGGTGGCTCCAATCCTCGGATCAAAAAAACATTTCACCATCAAAGCACCATTTAATGCTGGACTGTGTTAACAAATCAGACTGAAATGATCACTTATTTGTCTTCTCAGGAATTGGTTTGGAAAAACTATGCGAGCAATAATCTTAGTAAACATCTTACTAGTATAGTCATGGAATATTAAAGCTTATACATGTCTGAAAGTTATTATGCATGCGTTACGCATGTTACCCTCAGGAGACTTACGGACGGTGGGCAGGACTGAGGTATAAAGTTGAAGATGCCTTGGACCGTGGTGATGGTGACCTGCGGGCCTTGGCTGACCACCGCACTACCACCACTGACCTACGCTCCCTCAAGGACTACACAGACACCCTCGTCAGGCAAGTATTTCTAAACACCTTCACTTAGAATTTTGTCACCCCCCCCCCCACCAGAAACTTCAGTATTTAGTATGTTTAATTATAAAATATTTTGGTATTTCCTTCCCGCATTGCTTCATTATTATGTTTGCGGTAGCCAGACTTCCTCTGTATGAACCATAAACATCCAGTCTATGTAGTGTTACCAGTTCTTGTTTTTGAAGAATACTTTGTTTAACTTTACAAGTATTATATTTCGCTTGCCTGAGCAGCTGGAGCTTCGGTGAAATATTTTCAAGCAAAAGTGTAGTAAACATTGATCAGTGATACAACGAACCAACACTGAGAAATAAAACAGAATAAATGATGAATCGGATGTTTAAGCCTCGCATTGAGGTACCTATCAACAGATATCAGAAATACAAGAGAAAAGGCTTCATCCCTTATAATTTTTTAGTCTGCTGAAGAGGGCCACAGCGTGAGGCCGAAATATACAGTATTCATATGTTGTTTCATTGTTTGCGTTTGTAAATGCAGTAACACCTGAATGTTGCAACAGCCATGAATGGATTGATAATGCTAATGGTGTGTCAACTATTTGGGCTGATATGTAGTCAGTTTTATATTCATTCAGTGAGGAACGTTGTCCCATAAACTCGCCCATCCGGGCAAAATCTAAAATATTTTCCAAGGCTCCATGATGTATTACAGCAATTATTAATTTTTAGCTTGCTGATTCATTTACCAGTATCTGGCGTACCAGGTATCATTGTTTAAGTCATTGTAAAGATGGTAACTTATTTTTGTCACTGTGGTGATCAGGACCTTCGCCTCTCGGCTGGACCGGCGGCGCACACTTATCTTGGCCTCGGTGAGGTTCCACCGCATCGCTCACCAGATGGGAGAGCGATGTAGTGTACTGCTCCAGCAGCACCGCTGGCTGCCACACACTCACCACGTCGACACACTCAAGAAGACACTCAGAGAACTTACCTCTCGCAAAGAGGCCATTGGTGAGCACAGAAACTTCGTAAGATTGTGGCTGTCTTTCTGAGAACCTCTTGTTATACTAATAACCCTCTCAAGTTAAATAACCCTATTTTTTTCTTAATTTAAATTTAGTGTCTTTATAGTGACATGTCCTCTTGCTACAAAGACGTACTGTTAAGAGAACAGCTCGATTAAGCTCTACATAGAACGAAGTATTGTTTTAATAAAAGACTGTTCTGAGTCTGAATTTTTTCTTCAATATATTCACTCGATTGAGACGCGACGCTGCTCAACATTCACCGGTTTCGAGAAAAATTTAAACCTTATCATTTCTTTTTTCCTACTGTTTTTATTACATTTGCCTTAAATATTGGACCCGGGAAAGTATATGCTCACTCTCAGATGTCCACTTTTCAAGGTGCCTTACTCCACTGTACTGTGCAAGACACAGCTTGAGAACAAATGCTGTAACAACACAAGCTTTTAGTATGGAAAAGTTTTGATATACTTCATGTGAGGGACGATGTGAAGAGTACATATTGTAAAGATAGTAATGTAATCAATACTTTAAAAAACTTGTTCACACAGCAGTAAATGAGTACCTGGAGTGTTAGTCGACTGTTGTGGGCTATTATAGGAAAAGACGTTAATATGTATATTATAGATTGGGCCAGATTTTAAAATAAGCAGAGATAATACGTTGACCTGTAAAATAAATTACTTTAAATCCACTTTTATGTGCATTAGACTACCTAGCATCGGAAGGCACTCGGGCTGGGGAAAAGCTTCTGGATCTGTTGACAGTCGGGGTGAAAGACTTGTCTGGCAGGGACATTACGCCCGACTACACGGCCGAACTCAACCATGTGCACGCGCTCCTCACAGCCCAGCACGAGCACTACGCACGTGCAGCACGCCAGGCTGACCTCCACAAACTACGGCTGCAACAGAACATCCAGCTCCTCACCTGTCAGCGGGACGTCAAACAGGTAATGCCAGGGACAAGCTCCTCTCATCAGGAACATGTCGCAGTGACATAAATAAAAGACATTCCACCCCTTTACTATACTTCTTAAGGGTTTTGTAATACGGCATATACTTAATACCGTCTTCCTAAGTTCCGCCTGAAATTCTACATGGAGTGAAAGTAGTGGTAACATCAGAGTAGCGGTCTCGGGAATATCTCTGCGTACTGTAGATAACTAAATCATCTCGACCTGTCACTCCTTTTCCAGCATTTAATTACTAAAATGAAAAAGAAGTAAAAGTTGAAGTTAGGTTTGTTGGACTGTCAATGTTGTGTGGATGTTATATTAAACTGTTCGGTAAAATTATGAGAAAAAGGAAGATGGATATCCAGGCACTGAATGAACTAGGAAAGAGTTAGAGGAGTTAAGTGTACATAAGATAATACGAGATAGAGGAGTGGCGGTAATCTTGATGAAACACTTGTGGAAAGAAATAAAAGAAAATAAATTTTTATATTCAAGAACCGGCCTAGGCGATAAGTGTTAATTAAATGTTTTTTTTTTTTTAATTTTGAATTAAAAGTAATTGTTCCGATTAACTTTAATGGTAAAATATAAGAATGTTGTGGGCGGGCAGTGTCTTGACATGATATTGTAAAATGTATAAATTTAGTTGTCGCATAAATGTTCTCTTTGCTGTTCTATTTTTAATGCATGTAAACATAATTGAAGACTGAGTAGCGACTCGTAACAAGGAGATTAACGCTTATACTCATTGTAACTCACCATTTCCAGGCTCACAAGTGGCTGAAGGCCTTACTGGAGGCCCTGGTCAAAGCCCACGCTCACGTGGGTCGTTCTTCTGAGGAGATCCGTAGACTCAAAACAGAGCATCAACAGTTCCAGGTAAGTTGGATCCTAATGCCGTACTGTCATCTGAAGGAGAGACAGGTTGCAGACCAAGCTTGTGTTGTGACAACATGACTCTTAGCTCTATGAAGGGCGAAGCGTTGTCGTGAGGAACACCTGTTCTTCAACGTATGCTTTTTCTCCACATTCGTTTCCAGGCAGGTTAGTTCAATGCAGCACTCCTGATGCAATGTTGATGTTAGGATTGATGTTAAAGTCATTTTGATTGTTCTTTGGTAATGTTAGAATTTTTTGCTATATTCATGGGAAAGCACTGAAATCATACGGATCATACAGCACCTGGGAAAGGTATGATCAGCGGAAGGGGGATATAACTTCAATTTATTTAACCAAAATCCCTTCACCAACATCAAGGAGCTTCATATTTGAAGGGGTGCTGTTATTAACGATGCTGGATACCATGGAGCTTTCCTATATTAGACCCTGCTGGTGAAGTACTGTTGATCCAAGGAACTGGAGTTGCCCCTTCATCCCATTCTTCATTAAACCTTATTAACTTCTCATTCCCCAGAAGCTGTATAATCCCTAAGGATAATGAGGGTCATTGTGTTCCCCATGATGCTGAGGAGGCGCTGGGACCATCAACTGTCCCTAGGTGTACTGTGTTCTAGGTCTACTTCTGTGTTTTAGTGATAGTATATTGCCTGTAGCAGCTACTGTTTTCTCATTATGTTAGGAATGTTGCTGGGGTATTGAATGTCCTTTGGTATTGTCAGTTAGTGTGATGGGTGCCGCTGGTGTCCCCAGGTGATATTAGAAATGGTGCTGGCAATCACTGATCCCATGTTTGCCCATATGTTGTTGCTACGAGGTTACACTGCCTTAGTGGCATCAGAATAAGAGATGAATCGATCACTGTATGCTGATATAATTACTGTCTCTATAGAGTATTATTTGTGCTTAAAACAAACAGATGGGAATAAAATGGATTTTCTGTATTATGAAACTGCTTACTAATAGAAGGTAGCACGAGCACACCAGAACAAAGCAGCTGTCTGCTTCTGCGCCTGACGAGAACTCTTCTCCCTCAGGAAACCGCTTCAGGCACGTTCGAATACGGGTACGAATCTGCAAGAGCGGCGTTGCTAGTGGAGAAGTCTGCAGGAGGGAGCGTGCTGTGTGAAAGCCGTAGTATGGTGGGTGACCTTGAGAACGTGTGGAAGATGTTCGTGCAGGGCTCCCAGGAACAGCTCACCAGGCTCAGGGTCGCTGGTGTCTTCTTCAGGACGATGGAGCAGGTTAGCTTTTTTCTTCCCTTCCTTTTCCTCTCTCTCTCTTTTTTTCTCACGCCTTTCAATCTTTTCCTTTCATACCAACTCACCACTTGTGCCCGTCTTCCAACCTCCCATTACTTTCTCTCCTAATATATCTCTAATTTAAGTTTTCATCAAGATTAACAAATAAGTGTTGCTGCACCTGGGTGACTAAGATAACATACGATTTTAATTGGAAATATAAAAAAAAATTATTAAATGGAGGATAGAATCTCCAGTCTTCCTTGCGCTGTCTGACCCACAAGGGTTTAGCGTTTCACAAAAATACTGTAGAAAATGTTTCGGACCTGTAACTTTGTACTAGTGTTTGCTCACCTATCGTTTTTAAATAAGCTATTTTTTGCATTTCATGAAATAATATTTGTTACGTTGCAGCACCTGGAGCGGCTTGACAGCTTGTGCACGAGTGCGATGGAGAAGATGAGTAGCCGTGGCCCGACAGCTGACACTGAGGCCCGGAACCTCTTCACCTCCCGGGATCGCCTGCTGCGGGAAATCGGCAGGAACGTGCGCCTGGGCAAGCTGCTAAAGGAACGTTTGTCGGACCCCCTCGTCCCAAACTTCAGGTAGGTGGTCTCAGAAGGTTCCTTCTTAATCTTGAAATGTCAGAAGTGTATCGTGTGACTCTGGGAAGTGAGTTGCAGCTGTGATACTCTGAATTTCTTTCCATTCTGCAGTTTATAGCCATGTATGCCCAATACGGGTTTAGACTTGCTTTAATATAATAATAATTATCATAAGAATAAATGTTGAGATTCGTTAAGTAAGTGAACTCTGTATTGAATGAGTCTTCATACTGTATGTTGCAAACAGCTGAATTAATCTCGCCGTCTTCTGTCCCTTACTCGATTGCATTGCAGCAGTAACTGAAACTTCATATTTTCCGAAATTCAACATAAATCCGGTGTTGCTTCCTAAGAGAAACTTGTTATAATACATGCAGTGTCCCCATACTATAAACTAAATAAATAGTAAATGTACGAGTTGACAGGTGTCACACGAAGAACACTAAATAGGTCGTCATCTTGCTTCTCCTTCCCACTTTTAGGTACCCTAGGATGTCAGCAAAAATATGTAATGGGATGCTGAGGGGTTTGTGTGGTCTTTCCTTCCCATCCCTATCACCGTGGCTCCTGGTATAACCCGTGTCCTCGGTTGTGTGGGCCCTCACCTCTCCATGGCTCCTGGTATAACCTGTGTACTCATTTGTGGGGACCCTCACCTCTCCATGGCTCCTGGTATAACCTGTATACTCATTTTTGCGGACTCTCACCTCTGCATGGCTCCTGGAATATGTGGACTTTGTGGTTGGATCAGTTCACAGCTAACCCGTACTTTCGAAAGGAAATTTAAAACGACGTTTTGGTCCATCCTGGAACATTGTCGAGGAACGCATATCCTAGTATGTGTGTACTGGGTTGTTTTTAGCCCATTTTCCATCGTGGCTCCTGATATACTATAAGTGCATATAAAAACGTTGCTTTTATCAGCAAAACCCACAGAAATTTCCCCTGAAATATCATATATTTAAGAAGCCTTGGATTTTCGCAGTGTTTTAACATTTCTTACATTTTCAAGCATTTTTAAGTTTTTGAATTCATGTAGAACAAATAATTTTGAAAAGTTTCGAAGTAGAAATGGTAGCCGTTATGTGGCCCTTACTCTCGTTGCATTGGTTTAAATCTATTACATAGCAATTTTCGATGTATTTGTTGACCTCCAAATAGCAAGGTTTAAATCGTGGTTGGTAAAGAAAGATGCCAAAATGTACTGCGTATTGAGAGACAAATGTTTAAAGTATATTAGGTGAATTAACGATTTTAGGACTGTAGAGGAAATGGGGGAGGGGAGAAAGAGGCTTAGTAAAAATTCATTTTTTTTTTAGTTTCACACTATATTCTACCATTTACCATTTGTGAGGGAAGAGGTATTTGGGGTTTTCCCCCTAACCAGGTGGCTTAAAAAAGAACCCTCAAGAGTGTAAACTTTCTTCTGAGTTAAAACAGTTTTAAACAAAAATTTTACTACTATAAACAAGTGTAGTATCTGTAGAACGTGGTTTTGAATTATGCAGGGTAGTAAAGTGGACAGTGTGTAATAGTAATGTGCAACTCTGATATAGTTGCAGGAAAAGATAATAATATAAATTTTGGTGTTACTATTATTAAAGCTGTAAGATAGTGATTGTAGGTGATCGACAGTAGGCGATAGGTAATGGTTAGTTGATTTCTGGTAAATAGGTTTTAAACGTTTAGCGTTTGAGTGGTACGTGGTAGGTGATATGTGTTGGTGGGTGTCTAGGAATGAGAGTGGGAGAGCCAGGAATGCAGATGGAGGACTAGGGTGAGTGACGTGGAGGCTGGGCAGGAGCCACCTGGTAAGTTTTTACATGGATGTGTATATTTATGTAAGAGGGTCGCGGCCGTTGACGAGATGAGGCACTGACAGGGGAGCGAATAGCGGTGAGAGTTTGCAGACTTCAATGACAGGCGGTGAGGAAAAGAGTATAGGCGAGTACATGGATAAACATGACAGAAGCCCTTTTTTTCTGTCAGAGTTATCTGCTTGTGAATTATTATAATCAAAACCAAGCTCTAAACCCACAAGATCTGCTTGTGAAACAACTGATTTTTGTGTTTATAATCCGGATCAGGACAGGAAAGTAGAAGACTCCGATTCATCAGGTTCACACTGTTAGCCGGAAAAAAAAATTAAAACTGCGCATGAAAATTTTACAGGGAAGTAGGAATGTGGGATCTTATCATAGAATAATTACTATCACCAATACAAATCATTATCTCCACTACTACTAATACCATTACTACTGCTCCTGTTACTATCAGTACTACTTTCAGTACCGGTAGTTCTACTACCATAATGGCTTATTTAATACATTTATCACTTCTGTTTGGTTGCATTTTGACATGCTGTATACAGGGCAATAAAACACTGAAATTCAGTGTTTTATTGCCGCTAACACTGGCAAGACAACCTATATTTACAGGCGACGTTTCGCTCTGAGTAGAAGTTTATCTAATCAACATAAGGTTTGCGTTGCACATGTCTTTTAGCAGACTTATGGGCAAGTTTTGCCATCCGACACTATCTAGAATCTAGATTATTGCTCCAGTGTTCATCCTGTGAACGGTGGCGCGAACTTATTACATCACCGTCACCGTCACCGTCGCCAGCTGTACAACAAATGTCATCACAGTCACCACCCCGCCGACACTATTACTACTACTACTACTACCACACTACCCCCTCTGCCTTTCTTACCACCATCGCCACCAGCCCACATCTATCACAACCATCATTAATACTACTGTCTATCTGCCACTGCCACAACCATGACTAAAAGCGACACCAATAAGCTGAAGTCTATATTTACCTTCTTAATTTTATACCATCCATCTGACTATACGGCTGCGGCTTCGGCTTCGTTTGGCTAACGATATATGAATGTTGGATATAAATAATTTGATGCATAATAATCAGCAGTATGACGGTTATATATTTATAATGTGTAGCAGAAACAAGGAAGAGGAAGAGGGTGGAGGAAATATAAATTAATGAAAAACACATAATGCGGTAGCAGACACAAGGACAAGAGAAGGAATGGCTTGTAGCTAAATGGTGATACTCACGTGATGTGACCGTCTGGGTGGTAACACAAGAAGAATTTATTAGGATTATTTACCCCGGAGGGTTAGTAACCCAAAATAGCTTAAGTCCGTGTGGATTATTTCCATTAGGGTCCTTTGATCCTCTTGTCTAGGATGCAAGCTATAACAGTCGGCAAACACGCAGAGTAACTACTTACTGTTAGGTGAACATGGACAAAAGGTATAACGAAACATGCTCATCGTTTCCATCCATCTGTGGTTTAAACCCAGGTCCCTCATTTGTGAACTTGAAGGCGCTATCATTTAAGCTACAAATATAAAAGAAAACTTCAAAATATTACCTCAAGAGGCAGTGCCGGATTAGTCTTCGTAGGACCATAATATAATCATAGCTTATACAGATACTATTAACTATAATCCTTTGTCAGTAATACTTTCTCGTAGGTCCTGGGCACTGCCTAGACCCTAGAGGATTAGTACCGTAACACGGGATACCCCAAGATAGCAATATGACGTATTTTCATTTAACGGTACCCCGTGGCCTGGTGGTTAAAGCTCTCACTTCACAAGGCGAGTGTCTGGGTTCGATTCCCAATTGGAGAAACATTGGGCGTGTTTCTTTACACCGGTTGTCTATGTTCTCCATCAGTAAAATGGGTATTTGGGTGTTAGTCGACGGGTGTGGTTCGCATCCTGGGAAAAAATGACCTAATTTGCCCGAAATGCTCTGCATACCAAGCGGCTTTCTGTATAGTAGTATGTCACTGATGTCAGCTAGGACTGTATACCTTGTACATGTACTTGTAGAAATAAAGATATTATTATTATTATTATAGGACCCTTTGGTCCTCTTCTCCAGGATGCGACCAACAACAGTCAGCTAACACCCAGGTTACCAGGTACATATTTACTGCATATAAGCAGTGTAGGAGCACGCTGATCATGTACAGGAGTAGGGGCCACACTGATCATCATTTGGGGAAAGGGGCAGATGGTTCACGATAAAGGAATTGTAACCCAATTATGACCAATGTTTTTAGGTGATAAGATTTTTTTTATATTGTATTCAAGACTGTATTGTAACTATATGAAGTAATTGTAAAATATGAAATAACTGATAGTTCTTTCTAGTGACGTAACAATGCTCACTGGGGGTCTGACAACGACCCGTTGTGACCTCTGTAATCCTGTTGCACTACCGCTCACAGCATGAGCATGGGGTGCACAACAAACTAGCCGTTTAGGAGGTACAACTAAAAACTTAACTGGATGGCAGGTCATGATGCAAGGGCAGGGGTAGGCTTGTCACGGTGAAGGGATTGGAAGGGCGGGGGGGGGGGGGCGTACACTTGCGCAGGGTAGTGCCAAAGAGTCAGGTAGGGGAGTGTGACCCTGGGCATAAGTGAGTGTCTGGTCTCCCTCCCTGGCGACCAGCGGGACGCTCACCCTCTCTCGGGACACTGGTGTACCATGTCCCCACCTAGCCTCCTCTCTCACCTGAACTGAGTATTGCTCCAGAAACACGCCAACAGTTGAGGTCTACCTCCAAAATTTATACTCCTTAATTTTTTTTTGTTTGCCAAGTGAACTTTGTGTACCGATTCGGAATCTCATTTTCGCAGCTTGAAGTTACAAGTTTGTTCTGTGTGAGGTATGTGATGTAAGGCGGCGGTGGCCTGTGGCAGGCAGTAGTGATTGTAAGGAATGACGAGACTAGTGTAACGGAGTGTTCACTGCCAACTACAACACTTCATCTACCTCAACTTGGTAAGTTTTTCCATCTAATTAGTGGCGAAGGGGTAAATTTTGCCTTTATATATATATATATATATATATATATATATATATATATATATATATATATATATATATATATATATATATATACATTAATACAACGAAAAACTGGAAAAATCTGTAATTACATCAGCTCGACCAGG